GTCTGGGGCAGGAGCTATACTTCATGAAGTCCTATGTACGCTGTTCCTTCCCTGCATGATGCTCTGCTCCATTCCAGGTATGGACAGACATGAGGAAACACAAACAGGACTCAGAAGTTGAGCACATCAGCCCATGTCTGAACCAGCAATGCTTGGAGACAGGGCTGCAGGGCAGGATTCAGAGTCTCACAGTACCTGATGCACAATCTCCTATCTTTGTCATCATCTCTTTCTCTGTGGTAGCAATAATAACTTTATTTTTAACCGTGCTTCTCCCCAGAGAGAGTTTGCACAGCCTATGTACATATCTGGCTTGTACAAAGATATTCTAGACAGTCATGAATTTTGAACAGTTACTTTGGATGGAAATTACTGACAGTTCAGACACCGAGAATTAGTCATTTGGATTCAAATATGTATTAATTAAAAAGTGCCCTTTCCCTGATTGGTTCAGCTGATTTTTATGGCAATTCACCTTGGTAACCTGATCTTCAAATATATCCTCTACACTTCTGCCTGCATTCCGCATGCAGTGTTTTGTAGGGCATGAAATCTTGGACCCATTTGCATTAGGCAAGGGCCTGGAATTAAAATTTTGGTACCCGCAGTTCTCAGTTTTGAGAAAGCTCAGCCCACACTGGAACTCACTGTCCTGGTCCCTCTGCAAGAACTGGGTTAGAGTTAGAGAAAATAATGGCAAGATTTCCACTGACCTTAACAGGAACATTTATACAAGATGCTCCAAGTCTGAAAATATTTACCTTCAGAATGAAGAACATAATTTAGAAGATCTGTTGAGACCATTTTACTGAACCACTTGGTCACTGGCTGGTATTTAAGCAGGACATTAAAAAATAAGCCCTAACTGCAATTCCTATTAGCATATTATTTCTTCTGAACACGAATGGCAAAACAGATCATTATCTCACTAAATCTGCTGATGCAACATTACTTAATTAATCTTCCCATTTCTACAAGTTGCTAGACTAATAATCTTGGCAAAAAAAAAAAGAATTCAAGGAAGCAGGAAGGAAGGAAGGAAGGAAGGCAGAAAGAAAGGCAGAAAGGAAAGAAAGGCAGAAAGAAAGGCAGAAAGGCAGAAATGCGGAAAGGAAGAAAGGTGGAAAGGCGAAAGAAAGGCAGAAAGAAAGGCAGAAAGAAAGGCAGAAAGGAAGGCAGAAAGAAAGAAAGGCAGAAAGAAAGAAAGGCAGAAAGAAAGAAAGGCAGAAAGAAAGAAAGGCAGAAAGAAAGAAAGGCAGAAAGAAAGGCAGAAAGAAAGGCAGAAAGAAAGAAAGGCAGAAAGAAAGAAAGGCAGAAAGAAAGAAAGGCAGAAAGAAAGAAAGGCAGAAAGGCAGAAAGGCAGAAAGAAAGAAAGAAAGAAAGAAAGAAAGAAAGAAAGAAAGGCAGAAAGAAAGAAAGAAAGAAAGAAAGAAAGAAAGAAAGAAAGAAAGAAAGAAAGAAAGAAAGAAAGAAAGAAAGAAAGAAAGAAAGAAAGAAAGAAAGAAAGAAAGAAAGAAAGAAAGAAAGAAAGAAAGAAAGAAAGAAAGAAAGAAAGAAAGAAAGAAAGAAAGAAAGAAAGAAAGAAAGAAAGAAAGAAAGAAAGAAAGAAAGAAAGAAAGAAAGAAAGAAAGAAAGAAAGAAAGAAAGAAAGAAAGAAAGAAAGAAAGAAAGAAAGAAAGAAAGAAAGAAAGAAAGAAAGAAAGAAAGAAAGAAAGAAAGAAAGAAAGAAAGAAAGAAAGAAAGAAAGAAAGAAAGACAACAAACAAACAAGGAAAGGAAATACAGCTTTTCATTGTGGAAAATACTCTGCTTCATATTACATAGCTTTCAATTAGCAGAAACTAACACAAGGTACGCAGTTACACCTGCATGTAAAGGCCTCAGCCAAGTGCTACACGCATAACGACAGTGAATAGGTATGTAAAGTTCATGAAGCATATCATGTCCTATTTCATGTGAGAACAGTTTGCAGTACTAACGGGATTTTATTACATAAACTGCTGATAAGGTATTGGAGCTTTAGACAGTTAGCAAGTGTATTTTTATTACTGGGATGTTTTCCAGAAAAATATAGTGAACCTTCATCTCCATTGCAACTCTACAAGCTGCAGGTTTATTGTGGTGTCCCATGTCCCTCACAGGGCCACAGCTCTCTTAATGGGCAAATAGTCAACCACCAGTGACAAGCAAGAAGGGAATAAACCTTTCCTATGAGAAATACTGCAGTACCAGCTTTAGGAGAATCTTTGAATCACTGTGAAACTAGTGGCAGGGGAAATACATTTAGGTTAGTTGTGAAATTTGCTTATGCTAATAAAATACTGCTAACTATTATACTTGAGGACACATGTTTTGCGTGAAAGTTCTCTGGGAAAGCTGACTGGCCAGTTCTGCATTCCACAGAAACAAACCTTAGTTCCCCTTGACTGAGTACAGGGATTTTATTGGGACAGTTGAAGGGTACATTTACAGAGCTGCTCTGCACTTTAGCGCTAATGAGCTTGTTCACTGGTATCAATAAATTCTCATGCTCACATATTTAGCATTCCTTTGGCATGCACTGCCAGATAAATCCTGTATTGTCTTTCTGGTAGCTTGCCCAATTCCCACAAGGCAGATTTTTAAAACCCAAATCCTGCCTTATTGCTAGCTACCGCCTCTCCCACTCAATAAATTGAATTTACCACTTGATAGAATTATGCAGTTGGTGGCACTCAGCCCTTCATTTAAGTGAGAAAAAAATGTGGCTGGGGATCTACAAAGCATCAACGGGCAGTAGGAAGAGTTCGGAGGTGCCATTGCATCCTGGCACCCACAGTCCTTTTCTAAAAGAGCCATATCTTGGGGGACCCTGCAGAACAAAAACCCTTCTGTTGCTGATTTCAAGAGAAGGACGTTCACACTGATGTACTGATGACCCCAAAGCAACAAGCTCTGAACACACAGTAAAGTGCAATGGGGTTGTTGGTATTCAAAAACTAGGTTTAAACTACTAGTTTAGGTGATGTTTCAGCTCTGTAATTTTTAAGTACCACCTGACTGAATTTATTTGCAATGCCAGTACTCCTAATTATACCTAAAATAAAATAATAATAATAATAAAAAAAGTAGTTGTTGCCAAACAGCATTTGATGATACAAGTGAAGAAGACAGTAATTAATCCTGCAGGGACTACAGAGGGCTAATTAGAAGCAGAGCAGAAATTTTGTTTTGCTTTAGAAAAAGCCCCTAATTTTTCCATGAGAGCTCAGGTAAGACACCCAATTTACAAACTGAACTGTGACCCGTGACTAATGGTTCTGGCAGCAGCCCTGGACACAACTGGATTCCCAACTGATCAGGCAGAAAGAGCAGTGCACTGCACCACTCCTCGCCTGCTTTCAATGAGCCACACGTGTCCTCTTGTGTCCCACCAGCTGCAGGAGGTGGACACCAGCACAGACGTGGTTTTTTTTTTCCTAGGAAAACAAAGTGGTCACAGAGAACAGAAGTGCAACAATTCAGGAAATTCTTCTGAAACCAAGCCCAGGACAGGAAAGCACATGCAAGTCCTGGCATAGGACACATGGAAATGTTGAGCAGAGCCCTAGGGTCAGCCCAAGGAAATGAAGAGGACTTTTACTAGCACTACATGGCATCAGCTAAAAGTGCTGCCAGTGGTGAAGTTCACCTAAGGTGTAACCAGAGGAGGAAACCAGAGAAAATGGTCACCCATGGCAGATGCTGGGCTAAGTGTCTAGCTGGTGTCTGACTTCAGTTCCCTTTCTCAAACTGGTTCATCAAAATCTGCAAACACTGCAACCCCTGCTACTCTATGGAACACTGTATTGTTCAAGATTGTACAAAAGGGCCATAAATAAAATTGTGACGAAAGTTTGTTTAATAAAATGATGCACTAAGAATGGCAGAAGTCTTTCCCTGTAACTACCGTTTAATTTGGAGATTTTTTGTTAAGCCACAGATTGGAAAGGATTTTTTGAGTAACTTTGTGAGACATCACGGATATGGAGGAGGTTAAAGAGTCTGGAGAAGTAGCTTTTCAGTTAAATCTAATAGGCCCAGGTGTAAACATTGGAAAGTGCCTAGAAAAGCAGGGACTAAGGCTGGGAATGGGTCTGGGGTAGACCAGGGATATGCATGGGCCCCATGGACGTAACCAGACCCTTTGGACAAGCCCAGTTTCAACAATGGTGTCCACACACTGACTTTGAGAGGAGCAGACAGAATCCAGTGGGGTGAGAGTCACCTCCAGATCCAGCCACTAATGAGGAACCTACTTGCACCCACCCTCCACATTTCCTATAGCCTTGGGTATGCGTCTGCCAGCACAACACTGAAAACCAGATCAAATGCTATTGATTTTTTGATGGCATTTTCAGACACTGTAATCACTTTAACAGGGCTGGGGAAAAGGTTGGAAGAAGGAGTGGGTGTTGCTGATGCATCTGTATTAGCCCACTGCTTCCAGAAACTGCATGGCCACCGAGACGTTTTTCTCAGTGTTTGGCACCAAGTGTGGATATTGGCTGACACCCAGTGAAGGGCTTAATATATTCATGTGCCATAGTTTTAGAATATGCCAAAATTCTCTGGTTTCTGCTTGATGAGTATCAGCTCTTAGAAATATTTGTTACCTGGAAAATTAGTGCCACATTCCTCAGTATGCTATTTAACTTGAAAACCAAAAAATAATGGAAAATAACTAAGAACCTTCAAATTTTACCTCCTCTCTCTTTGTGCTATTAAAATCTACAGAATCACTGAATGATAAAACAACATAGCTTGGAAGGGAACTTTTGGAAATCATTTGGTCCAACCTCTGGCTCAAAGCAGGGCCAGTTTCAAATATAGGGTCCATACACTGATGCCACTGATAATACATGCTCTCTTCTGACAGGTCTTGGGCAAGCTGGAAGAGCTTTGGCTCTCCTGAAGCCCGCGTTTTCCCCTAAGGGGATCTATATTTGAGTATCCTCTAATGGCCTTTCCCTGTCTGACAGCTGTCACGCCAGAAAGGGCTGCCAGCCTCACCCTTAAATGCCACCTGAAGGAAAGAGGAGTCTGCCAACTTCCAAACAAATAAATTACGAAGACACAAACAGCCACAATGCAGAGACTAGTAAGTATGCACTTCAGTGGAATACAGTCATCATTTTTGCACAACATTCTTTACATCCTTTCTTCTTCCCCTGCCCTCTCTCCCCCCATTGCACAGCCCAGAGCCAGGGCTCTGCTGTGGCCCGGGCAATTGTCTGACGGTTGGTTGCTGTCTGTCTACCTTGGAAGCGCTTCACTACAATTTTTCCCCTTGTTGGGTACTTCCAAGCCTTGGCCTCTTTCCACTGCATGACACAGCTCAGCAATAAAACTCCTAACATCCTCGATAGCCGAGAGCAGCCAAAGATCCCAAAATATCTTTCACTGTCCAAAAATTGACCAGTGATTCCCCTTTGTGCCTTGGTGTTGCACATCGTGATGAAGAGCACATCTCAACTCCTGTACACCTGTGAAAATCGGGGACCCTGAACTATCCTGTCACAGCACTGGGGTAAAAGCTAAAAACCTGATCACTACAGGCCAAGAACTGAGCATCTGAGTGTCTTTAGGGAGCTCTCACTAGCAGTTTAGGAGCTGAACACTTTGTTTCTGGCTGCATGCTGAGACATTGCAGTGTTCCCGGTACTGTTAGTCACACCTATATGAAAGTACTTCTGTGTGGTCCCTTTTAGAGGCGCCTTTTTATACAAGCGAGATCAGGCTGGGATCTTGAATTATGGGTTGGATTCACTTCATTTACCCTCTAGCAGTCTACAAACCAAGTGTCTAATCTAAAGTCATTAATCTACAGTAAATTATGAGAGACTGGCACCTCCAGAGCAGGATTTATCCCACCTGTCTGAAACACCTGTCTTAAATGGGCCAGATCTGAGTCCCCATTCCAAATGGGTAAGTATATGTACATATGGTGTGCCTATGCACCCTTTGCAAGCAGGCAGAAATATATTCTGTCATTGCTCACTGTGAACTGAATCTGTTCTAAATCAGATAAAATACAGTCATGTCACTGGGGGGGAGGGGGCAGGGGCTGAGCCCAAACTAATACAAAATCCTTTTTATAGGGCTTTTAATTAAGGCTAATTGATGTATTCATGGCAGACAGCCAGATATAGAGTTGGTGCACGCCAACAGTCTCAGACTTGTGGGCCAAGCAAGCTTACATCTCCAAGCAGAAAATTATGAAGAAATGCACTTATCTGCTTTATAGACAATGGATAAAAAGGTTTGTGGGAATATTGCCCCAGAAGTGTGTTTCCACCTGCCTTGCATCAGGAAGCTGATTAACATAACATAATTAATAGAATTTATTTGTCATGGCCTGGTCAAGCCCTTTTTGAATGCTTCTATTACCTGAGTATTCAAAATCAATATATGCCTTCTTGGCCCACTGTGCAATACAAGGTCAATTTTCTATATGACTAAACACACCCTCAGTAAGGATGATTTTATTTTGTTTGTCATTTGTTAGCCATCACAAATCTGATCGTTGCACAATATTTTTTATGTCAGTGCGAAAATTTGCTGCTTTCCTGCCAGAAATAACGTGGACTTCTTGTCTACTCCATTCAGCACTTTGCCTTAAGAATGTAATTAATTTTGAAATGCACTATAACATATTAAAAGCAACAGAGCATGTAGAGATCATGTTATGTGTTTGTACCAAAAAAATAAAGGGAAAGTTATAAAAACTATTCCCAGATTAGGAAATCAAACTTTTCCTCCCTGTAGGCTCCATGTGAAAGTGCTGCCCTGGTTGCACTGACATATGTGAAGGACTGGGGCTATCCAGGAAAAGTGTCAACTTTTCTATTTCCTTCCTTACATTTCCTTAAGAATATCAGTGCAGATCTAGAAGTCTCGAGAAAACTGCAAACTACTGTTGTTTAGTGCTCACAGCTCTCACTGCAGCTCAGGACGGGAGAGTCACAGAGCCCGGGCTGCCATGGAGAGATGCCTTAATCCAAAGGAGCCCCACTTCTCAAACCCTTCCTAACAAGTAGGTTAGCAGCAAGACTGTAAAGCATTATAGATCTTACAGACCTGAAGATATGTGCTAGCACAGGAGCTTCTGGTACAAAAAAAGAACCGAATAAAAGCCTTTAGATACAGCCTATTAAAAACAACAGTAACAAAACCTGTTAAAACCCTCTTCCTTAGGAAAATGGTACTTGAACACTTCTTTTAAAAAACAGGTATCATTTTGATGCCCCCCCACTTAGGAGAAAAAATATTTATTTTAACAAATATCTGTCCAATTCTGACATCTAAAAAGATAGGTTTGGGTTTTTTAAATGCTCAAAATCAAAGTAAAAAAGTGTCAAACCATTATAATACCTTCTCACTCCCAAATTCCATATTGAACCTTTGGATTTATATTTTCCTTTCTAGTTCAGGATGTCTTTTTCTCCAAAAAGCCTCCAAGCTATTTCATGAGTACATCTGTTTTCTGGCCCATGCAAATGATGACGTCTGTGTAACGGTCTCAGTTACTTCCAGAGCAACTGCTCACAGCTTGCAAATAGAACATCGTTATTCCTGCAGCTGCCAGTTCTCTAAAATTTTCTGGGATCCAAAATCCACTTTAAGGTCCAATATGGCCATCACATTCAATCTTCAGTTCACACCTGTGTAACAGGGTTGCTTTCCATGGCAAATGAAGACTGAATTTGAATATAGCAACGAGCCCAAACTTCAGTGCCAGCAGCATCAAGTCCCTATAGTTGTGCTACTTCTGCAGAACAGGGAAAAGAAAAATGGGCAAAGCTTAAGTTTGTCACTTCCAGAGCCAGCTCTGCTCTAACCCCTGTCCCCTGGCAAAGACAGAAAGATGAAAAAAAGGATTTTCAAACACAGATTCAGAAGAGCTGAATCTTCACTACAACAATTAACTTTTTTCGGTTATTAATCTGAAGTGCTGTTCTATCTCATATATGTAACAACACACACAAAAAGCTATTAAAGGACCCTAGTTAATTTGCATTGGGAAGTGTTTACTTTTCTGTACACATTTTATTTCTGTTCCAAAGTCCAGGAAGATAAAATCCGCTCGTGGGCAGGTAAAATGCTTTGAACACACAAAGCACAAGGTAAGTGCTAAGAATGCTGTTACCAGCACGTGGCAGGAACATCTGTACAGATACACAGCTTTGAGGGGAAAGGAGAGCATGCAGCCAAGAGCTCCTTCCACATGGCATGTAGCCACCTGAGCACTGGCTTCGGGGGAAGAGACATGCTTGTGTCCTTATTGCACTTAATGAATATAGGTGGTTGCTTCCAGTCAAGACTGAACTACACGGCTATGACTCATGCTACTTTAACAGAAAAGGGATGCCCCAGTCAGCAGCGCGCTCATTCGCATCATGCACAACAGCGAGGGGACGGGAAAGCTGAACCAGTGCCCTGGTGACAATTCCATGAAACAACACGTAACAGTCCGATCATGACATTTTGGAGGCAAAGTGCATCAGAATTGTACAAGCCAAATTTTCAGAGCAATAGCCACCAGAGTCAATCCTGCCAACGTGACCTCCGGCTGCAGCCCCAGCACCCAGGGCCTGGGGTAGCCCGTCTGCAGGCTGCATTTGTCATGTTTGCAAGACACTCATCCCACCACTGCCTCATAGAAGGTACAAGCTGGTTTCACTGAACTTGTGATGGACAATATTGGAATATCAGTCAAAGCAGCACTAGAAGTGGACCTGGAAACTCCGTATTTGTTTCATGAACTTTGTATTTTACACTATTTATAGCTTTCAGCCCCTACGCGTTTTATCCAGTTGTGTAATAGACATTCTGGGCTCGAATCATTTTGAAGGTCAGCTTAATCTTGTTACATGTTCTGTCATTGTAAAGTGGCACAAAGTTACACCTGACTTGCAAGATAAACCTAAATAGAGATCCCTTTGCATGCCATGCAGTTCTATCTAGAATTAATATCAGCTATAAAGAAAGAAAAGGAGTCCTTTGCAGAGGCAGAGGAATGCCATTAAGGCTAAGGCTTTCTAACAAAGTCACCCCCATTACCCTGCTGGCTCTTTTGGAGCATCAAATCATGGCAGATTCATGCATTCAAGGAATTTTACCAAAATTTGGCCCCAAGACAGCCTGCGTGACTCAGCTATTCACTGGGCAGCTCTGGGCAGTCCTGTGTGTCTGTCTTAACCAGCAATCCAAGTCAGGCAAGAACATTCAAATCTTCAAAGCTTGGCACTTAAATTGTACCCACAAGGTCTGTACATACCCCAGCAGCCTGCAGCAACTCTGTAACGACCTAACCCTATAACCTTCGATTTTTTCAGAGTCCCAGGGTAGGATTTAGAGTAGGACCTTGAAGGGCCTGCTGTTTTGCAAGTGCAGTTTGTCCCTGCAGCCCAAAGCATGGCTGCAGAGTTACAGATTTGCACTTGTGTCAGAACAGCAGCTGCAAAATACAGCTGAAAATTTTGACAGCGGCAACTGCAGCTGTGAAAAACTATTATGAGCAGGCAGCCTAACCACCAGGCCTTGGGAAGAACTGTCCCTTTTGGTGGCTTTTTATTCTTCCTTTTTTTCATCTATAATTTCCTAAAGAAAGGAACTGGAGAAGGGGCAGAAACAGGACAGAAATAAATAGCAAGTGAGAAAGATCATAATCTCCCCAAAAGCCTCCATGAACTGACACAACAGAAGCAATGACTTCTTTGGCTTTCGTATGAACTTTTGGGGGCTTATGGGGTTGGATTTCACAGTAGAAGATATGTTCACCCTCAGACGCAGGTTCCTAATTGCCTCTACTGCAAATGATGGTTTGCTTTGTTGTTTTGGGTTGTCTTTTTTTTTTTTTAAGTTTCTCAGGAAGAGATTTAGTTCATTTAGTCTCCTAATGTAAAGTAATGGATCTAGTATTGGTGTCTGGTAAGGATGCTCATTAATTATAAACATGTCTTTTATTTACCTGATTGGTAGTGATGTCTTCTGGTACATATATGTTCTACTCCAGGCACTTTTGAAAACATGGGATCTTGATGCAAGAGGCCATGTAAGTGTGGAGGGGAAATGCTTCTCTGAAGGAGTCAGTGCACTCTGCTGGGCTGGCCTCAAGCTGTACTGGTTAAGAGCTCTGCAGCTGCGATGGCCGTTTCTGCTGTGCATCACATGCATCTGGAGTCAAAACCAGTACAGAGAGGCAAAAAACCCCACCACGCTCAGGTGCAGACCCAGGCAGAGTCCAAAACCTCAGCTCCAAACAGGAGAACAAATAGGATCCAGTGCAAGAGCCTGCCCTGCTGCAGCCCCGCGAAGCCAGCAGTGCCGCCTGGAGGGCGATGCTCCAGCCCAGGAGGTGGAGGTGGGGCCTGCACACAGTTCGAGAGTGGGAGATGCTGATGGGAACCAGCTAAGAGGAGGGTCAGAGCATCTAACACAGACCTAAGGGACTTAGTATGCGTGACGACTGGCTGCGTGGGCACTGCAAGCCTGCTTTTGAAGTCATGCCCCCCTCCACCATGCACTGAAACCTTCCACGAGTCCAAGGCAAGAGCAGCGGGCAGCACCCCAGGGAGGACTTCATCTCCCCAACACACCCACCACTCTCCCACCCGAACATTATCATCCAGGTACCCTGGACTAAAGGAAATTTCATCCTGAATTATTATTTTCCCTCCTTCTCAAAGGCAGTTGCAGACTGATAAACATCCTCAGAAAAGAGAGTGGCAGGGGATTAACTGAAGTCTTTTAACTTCAGGCTTTCAAACCTGCTCACATGGCTCCCAAGGAGTTGAACAACGATTGTTCTCTCCTTTGCTCAGACCTCATGCAAAGTCATTCTGCCAGGGGCACTGGGGGGGACAGCGGGAGAGCAACCTCAGCCCTGCAAAAACAGGACATCCTAATGAAGATACTGAGAGAAGCGGACATCATCGCTGAGCGCTGCAAAGAGAATCTACGGAACATTTCTCTAACAGTTCAGTAAAAATGTCATCAGTAAAAGGAGGCTTTCAAGAAAGAAGTTACCTCCAAACACTCAGGGAGTGCAGCTGAGAGTTTCTGTTATTTTCATTTTGTTACATAAATCACCATTATTATTTCTTACTTATGATGTTAAAAGAGCAGGAGGATACTTGAAATAAAAGGCTGTGCATGCACAATACCCACACAAATGAATTCCAGTGATCCACCCCAGCACTGGATATGATGCCCTTCCCTGGCCACTGAGCCCTCCCTTTAGGAGGAGTAGGGGAATTTATCACCAAATATACAGTATATTGTAATGGAATGATACCAGGAAACAATACTAATTGGAGTCTGAACATGTCCTCCATGTCATGTTAATCTACTGTTTAACTCAGCAGAAAAGACAGTGAGGAAATAAAAGCTCAATTCACCCAGCCTGAGATCAAAACTGTCATGGCAATATTGGCAGGTTAGACCCTGATTCTTTAAATAGTACATTGCCTTTGTTAAACAAAAGTCATTCTTTTATTACATAATAGAGATTATAAATAAATGTAAAGTGTGCATGCAGTCAACTGCATATTATACAAGCAATATCTATGTTAATAATTGTTTTCTTTGGCAGGCCAGAATCCAGCTGGACATGCAATATTTACATATCAAAATCCTTGGTGTGTTCAAGTCATATTGGATGCAAGTGAAAATATATATGTATATATATTTACCGTATACACACACACATATATATGTATAAAGGTATATATACACCTCTGCATATATACTGTATACATATATACACATAGGTATATGCTAAAAGTGGATTTCATCTTTTTCTGATTCAGGTGATGCAGGCCTTGAAACACTAAAAATATCCTGACAGGGTATCTGGGGGGGGCGCTGGGGTGATAAATGAGACGTGGGGGAAGAGATCTGGGGTATGTTCTTTTCAGACAATATTTTTAAAATTTCTGCCACCTGTTTCTCAAGGGCAGCCATCCTACTGCTTAGCAGCTGGATATCTTCTTTGAGTTCGTGCTTGACTTCCTGCAGCGTGGTTTGTAAGGCCTGCTCAGGAATAGGGTAGAAAGGATGCCTAGCATCAGCCTGAATGGGGCTGTGCTCCAGGGGGCTGCGAGTCTCACCAGCTTTATCCAAGCGAAGGTCACTTTTTGTTATTCCACTGTCACAAGAGTCTGTTTTCCTCAGTGGGTTTTTATTTACGCCGTTCTCCGAGTCATTGCACTTGGGGTCATCAGAAAGCAACCCCATGGACTCAGCCTTCGTGACATTGTTCCAGTCCTCCTTCTTCTCCTCATGGGTCCCCATCGTGTTCTTCAGTCGAAGCCACCCCTTCCCATTCCCATTTTTCATCCGCATGGGACTGTTTACTTTGAGACATTTTTGATCTCCGTTTCCATTTGGCTTGAGCTCCATCGCGTCCCTGTTGTTCTGCTTCACGGCTTCACTGGTTTTCATGTAAGCCAGGGACGTCTGGATGGGGGTGATCTGAGACACTGTGACCACACTGGTGCCTGTGATGGAGGCCCCGTTCTGCACGCTCCGGCTTTCCACCTGAAGCTGGCTCCTCTCCGGGTCGATGTGGGTTGAGCCTTGATTACGCATCTCCTTTTGCTGTTTGAATTTCTGGAAGAGTTTCCGCACAGGGTGGTCCACAGGGATGCTCAGCGTCACCTCGTTCTTCTGTCGCAGGCGCTCCTCTTCTTCCTTCTTGACATCGCTGATCTTCCGGAATATGATCTATGGGGGATAAATCCACAACAGAGTCAGTACGCAAAGGACGTCACACACAGCAAACTTTACTGGGAGATGGGGAAACAGTACTGAGAGAACAGGCATTACACCTTCCTTTCTATCTTAATTTCTTGTAGTCTATTCAAATGGAGCTGATCAAGACATAGTAACACCAGATATATGCTACTGCATAGATAGGGTACACACACACACACACACACTCACACACACTTTCTTAAGATTATAGATTAAAAGTGGGTTTCACCTTTATTTTTGATGCAGACAATAGAGTCTTGAAGAACTAAAAATATCCCAACACCAAAAGAAGCAAACAAACTGAATAAAGGGAAGAAAGAAAGCGAGCAAGAACCCAAATACTGTGATACCTACTTCCCGATTACTCACACTCATACCTACTCCATCACTATCTTTAGTACACATCAAAAGGAAACAGTAATTCAGTGGAGACTCTGCACCTGTAAGTTTAATGCAACATACACATCCTTCCAGAGACTGGAAAATACAAATGTGATAAATACTTTTTAGCTACCCTTGTTGCTACTTTTGTAGGAGTGGCTGGAGGGTGCAGTTAGGTTCCTCATGTGCTGTGCTGTGTGGCTTCACACAGCAACACAAGCGTTTCCTGGAAAGTTTCTATGTTTAATATGTATGGGTGTACCGGGAGCACCATGGAGAAGCACCGTAACATGGGTCTGTAATTCTAAAACCCAGCAATATCTACTGTTTCATGATGCCATGCCATTTAACACTGCGGTTATTTCACCCTGCAGCATCTCTCAGACCTCTATAGAAAAAGGAATCCAAGCATCCAAGACTCAAGCTGCTGAAGGATCCACAGAGTAAAAACCTTTCTGTTGATTTATGCATGTCACTCATGAATTTTTTTTTTTTTTTTTTTTTTTTTAGGTTCAACCAGTTTTCTTAAATGTGGGACTAAGGCAGGATAGGGAAACTCTTGTTCGCTGGATGATGATACTGAAGTATCATCACAAGCAGCACATGATTAAATGCAAGAAAGGCAAGTATAGACTGTGTAGGGATAGTCTTGGTAAGAAAAGTAAAAGAAAGCCCATGGAATACACAAGCAAAACTGTGTGATAGTCATATGTAGGTTTTGAAGTATCTCTTTGAGTATCCATATTTCAGTATATATTTACTTTTCATAAAAAGGCAAATAAATAGATTGCAAATAAATAGATTGCAGATAAATAGTTGCTCTCAAGTTTCACAGCTTCAGTAGTCAGCAGAGTAGTGCCATGATGGCTCCATCTCCTTCCCTGCACAAATCTGGGATGAGCTGGACTTCAAAGCTTCATTAGAGAGCTTTCAAACACAGTAAATACATCCCAGTGTGCTGCTGATAGATGCAGCTGCTTATAATAATTTGGAAAGTTAACATGTTTGTTAGAAGCCCAGTTTAAAAAAAATAAAAACAAACAAACAAGAGAGAATCATGGAAGATACTTTCATCTGACTCCTCTGACCTAGATGCAGCGACACTCGTTTGGAAGCTCCCTTTCATTAGTGCCCGCCCTCATGGAGCAACTCTCACTCTCTCAGACAAGCCACTGGGAACAGCAAATAAATGCAAGAGAAGTTGCCCTTGATTCAAAATAAAGTAATTACATTTAATTGACGCCACACTCTCTAAATGAAGATTTGGAAGGTGGGTTGTGTTGCTTTGTTTGTTCCTTTGTCTCCCTGGAGGGCAGCATGGCACCCCCGGCAGACGATGCAATGCTGAAAGCTGCAGGGATGTGTCCCCAAGCCGTGCCTCCGAGACGATGGCTGGTTCCTCCGCTGGGCTCCCTGTCCAGCTGTGCTGCTCTGCCCTGCGCCCCGTGGCTGGCTCCCTGAAAATATCTGGGGAGGGGAAAACATCCTCTACCCAATGTTCCTCTGCTCTCTGGCCATGACCCTAGGTCACAGCTTGAGCACCCTCCTCTCCCCAAAAGCACCAGTTTTTGATTCCTCTCCAAACACTGGCACTTCACTGAAAACTACCCTCACCTCCCTTTTTTTCCCCAATATACTCTTGCTCTTTCGTTTATCCATTTCCTCCTCTCAGTTCAAAACCAGAGGTTATCTCCCTTCACGGAATATAATTACCTATGACTGCTGCTGCTGCCTTCTGCAGAAGGAAAGCCAAGACATCACTAATCTGAGACTGCCTGTACCTCATACTCCTGAAGTGGGCCCTTATGAGAGCCAGGAAATCACTGTGGGTTTTTTTTTTGCCCCAGAACCACTTGGCCAGATGTCACTCAGATGAGCCGAGCCCAGTGGCACGGGGGGCTGAGCCCAACGCTTTGGGGAGAGCCGAACGCGTCCCTGCTGCAGGGACGGGCGGCCAAGGTGACGAACGCCATCTGATTTGCAGTGAAAATCTGCTCTGGCTGAGGGAGACCAAGGACCCAGTAACCATTCACAGCTGTGGGCTTTCTCCCCCCTTTACACCTACACATTGGAGAAGACACAGTCCCAAAGCCCTGCTGTCACCTACTCAGGAGACGTTCCTTCAGCTTCTTGTAGGATGCAGGGAGGAGCCTGGCAGAGCTCTTCAATAAATCGTTTCCTTTCTCTTCTTGAGACAGAAAGTGCTATACCCTGGAACAATTATGGTCAGCTCCTTTGAAGAAGCAAGACTGCTGCACTCTGAGTTAGCACAGAAAATGCCCAGGGACTTGAAAATCCAGGGGTTAGCTGGTAGTCAAGAATTCGGGACTGATCTGTCTTGGTGGAGATATATTTCCAAGGGAGAAAATGCACAGCCCTGTGCCCGCTCTCCCTTCTGCTTTCTCATGAAACCTGGATGTGTTCATGGGTATTTGCTATTTTCTTTTTCACTCTGAAATGCATAACCTTGCAGACCCTCATATCTCAGCTGACACTGTGAGATCACGGCTCTTTGGAGACCAGGATCTTGGTCCTTGTTCACCCACTGTCACCACGAGGAATCCATTTCACCCCTGCATCACCCCATGGAGACTGTCCCCTCTACAGGACACCCACCCTCAACCAAGAGAGCACTATGCCTAGCACAGCAGGACCCTAGTCTTGGTCAGGACTACCCGACATTGTTAGAATATGTACAAGTAAAAGAAAAGAAAGATCCTCTTATATAGACAGAGAACTGGGAAAGAAAATTAGATGTGAATTCTAGCAGTAATAGTTGTTTTTCATTATCAAATTTTTCCATATTAGGAATTTTTTCATGTTGTTGGATTTAATCCACTTCTACAGTGGTTTAACCTAAGCCAGAATAGGATTAAACGTGTTTACATAGAGACTTAATTCTATTAATGTCTAATAACTATTACTGGCTATTTTTCTCTATAAATAAGAACAGAAAAACACCTCATACAATCTGACATTCCTCAGCAAATTAGGAGAGGCTTATTTTGAAATCTTAAATTGGATGAGCTATTTCAGTTGTCCCTGACCCTTTTCAGAGAGGTTACACATAGGCCTGTCCAAATGTATGTCCCAGGAATAGACACAAACCCCAAAGGAGTTAATCAGAAGAAACTGAATTAACTGTGTGCATAGCACATCTCAAGGAGTAAAGAGCCATACCCCTGTC